AGGTGCTGTCCTACCCCTCTTCACACTCCCGCGTCTACCAGTGACCCTGATTGCGTTGCTAATAGTTTGGACCAGCTTATCAGCAAGATTATCCACCGCGTCTACTGAAGCCATCGGCTGTAGCTCTATTCCTTGAGCCCAACGGCCTAGCACCTTTGCAAAGTCTTCGAGGGCGTCGTCTGTCACTAGAAACGGTTGGCCTGTTTTGATAACAGCTCTAGCTTTCGAGTTCGGACGGGGGATGTCTCCTGCAAGAGTTCTGTGGTCCGATGTCGAGTCAAGCTCTATCGAGACGTCTGCAAGGGCTCCCGCGTTAGACCAGACTAGGTCGAGTGTGTTTCCAAGATCGTGAGTCGAGACGCCCGGGGTCGAAGATAGGTCCATACCGTGCTCGGACATCCATTTGGCGAGCACTTGGCCGTCACCGTGTAGCCTGGTGGCCATGGGCTGCCAGTCAGGGTGGACGGCATTGAAATCTCCACCAACTACTGTGGGCCCAGACGGGGCCCATGATAGGAGCGGCGAAAGGTCTGCTCCAGGAGCGCGATACACTGAGACAAACGTGACTCCTTCAACCTTTACGGCGGTAAGATCTGGTGATGCCTCGCAGATTGCTAGTTGTAGGCACTTGGTCCCTTTTCGCGTATAAATGAGGGATCGTGGCCTTGCGGGGTTGGCTGTGACATGGGGGGGCAAGTGCTTGTCGAACCCAGGATGCGACTTGGTGAGCCAGAAGCCGTCCTTGTGTTGAGTCCAGGGTTCCTGGATGAGTAGGACATCGGTTCCTGAATCCCAGGCGGATTGCAGGATGATGTCTATAGCGGGGTCTCCTCTGCCCAAATTAGCGCAGAGGAACAAGATCGTTGTTGCCGTTGTGTGTAGCTCGGTAAGGTTGTGGTCCCTTACGGGCATTGAGCAACGTTTGTAGTTTCGTTTTCAGCAGTCGCCTCAGCGGCTTTCTGCTTTGCTTCCAACTCTCGGATCGAAGCGTTTCTTTCTTTTTGACCTTGTTCCCGGATCACCGACAGCTGGTCTCTTGTGCGTTGCACAGTCTTTCCGCCGGTCCGCGTCGGCCTGGCCATGCAGCTAGGCTCGGTTGCGGCATGCGGCCCATGGCAATTGATGCACCTTGGGACGAGCTGTTTGCACTCAGTAGCCTTGTGCTCAATCGATCCACAGCGAGAGCAGCGCTCTGCTCGTGAACAGATCTTAGTTGGGTGGTGTCCCCAGCATCGGTTGCATTGCGCAATTTTGGCTTTTCGCTGAAGTTCGTTTAAGCGACCGCTCTCTTCGAAAAGTCTTTCTCCCAGCTTTGGCTTGCCGGTTGCAAAATGCAACACCCAGTCGGTTGACGGCCTAGCCATGCTTGTTGCAAAGGCACGAGCCGAGGTCGGTCTAACGCCTGTCTTTAAGGTCGCTTCCTCCATTACCATCTCCGATGTTACTGGCGTTGGTCCTTCTAAAGTGAAGAGTCTGTCTGGTACATTAGGCGCCAACACTGAGATCCAGTTGGAAGCAGCTTCCAGTTTCATTTCCGTGCTCTCCAGGAGTACGGCGCCTGAGAGGAGCGCGTTTCTTGCTCCGTCTCCTTCAGCTAGTATCGCAAACCCTGAGTTGACGATGGTAACCTGCTTAATTGCAGAGTTAGCTAAGCGCAGCTTGCTTGCGAGGCTCATTTTGATGTAATGAGGAGACATGCGTCTCCATGGGTGGTCGGGCTTGACCCGCAGGAAAACACGCTCGTCTGGGCGAGCTAACTTGGGAGCTGAGGCAGTAGGCCTCGGAGTTTGTGTGGGCCCTGTCGCTTTTGACTTAGGCTCGCTGGCTGGTTGCGATTTTGTCGCTGCTGGTGGTGCGGCCCTAGTCTTTTTCCTCACTACCTGAGTCCAAGACCCCTCAGTAACGATGGGGGTTTGTATAGAATCGATGTCGATTGGCCTAGTAGGCTTTGTCGAAGCCGGCTCTTTGCCTTTCGCCTGGCTGCTTTCTCTCGTGAGTATTTGCACTGGTCGTGAAGTGCTCGCGCTATTCTTTCCTCCCGACCTAGTAGCCGACGTAGGGAGGGTTGTCGTCTTGCTGCTACTGGCAGCCTCTGATGGCCCACTGGATTGGGGCTCGGGGTTTCCGCGCAGGATGTTTGTGATAGTGGCCTGTAAAGCCTCTCCATTTTTTTCGACAGCTCGTCGGAGCTGTTTGTCGGTTGTGGCCGCCAGTAGGTTAATGTACCCACTGACGATACGCTCAGCCTCTGCAAAGCGTATGTTAAACGCCCTCGCTTCATCTGCGAGGAAGTTAGTCAAGGAAGCACCCATTGACTCGGGGGGGTTTGGGGGCGAGTATTGGCAGCTCGCCTCGCAGATCGGTTCTGCGTTTGCTTGTGTGTTGTTGTGGTGGTGGCTAGGTGGCCCTGTGAGGACCATTTCGACGTCAGGACGCGTCGGATTTACGGGTGGGAGAGGGGGCCAAGAGCCAGCCTCTGCGGAGGACTGGGGCGGCATGGCAAGGAGCAAATCAGAGAAAGTTGAACAGTAGATAATCGCGTGTCTGGCGCGTCGAGACAGTTCTTTTGAAATCTGTGTGTGAGTGTGACTGGGAATGAGGGTGTAGGCAGCCAAAAGTGTCGTTGAAAATGTGTTTTTCGAACCGACTGTTAGAATAAACCCGAGCACGATGTATGTGTGTTTGTGTTTATTGTACTACTTGAGTCTATGACTATCTAGCACATCGGGCTCCTCTCTGACCCAGGCCACACCTTGTACAGTGCTCCTATCCTCTTTTGTTACTTCTCAGATCATTGATATATTCCCCTTGATGAATAGCTATTCAGCTCAGTGTTTACCCGTGGAATTAGGCCACCTTTTCCACGGAGCCTTCGACCCAAAAAATGGTAGCATTGGAAACTGCGTGCGCGGGAAAAAGTCTCAAAAAACCCTGCAGCCCCAGGCAGGCGAAGCCTAGACATCGGGACCACACGAGGTACGCATATTCATCTATTTCTCCCTTCTTTGTAACATTCGAGGCCGACTTGATCCAACCCGCCATCTCCGTATAGGGTGCTGGGTACGCTCCGGAAACTCATCGGACGAAATTTCCTCCATCAAGGGTTGGTGATGAGTAGGGCTCCAACCCTACCATCTGATCTAATAGTGGTTAGCTTCATGATAGTGGTGATAGGGGAATGTGTTGAGTGATGAAGACGATACAGACTGCGAAAGCGATTGGGAATCCTCGTCAAAGTGAAAACTTTATTCCCCAATCTCGGCTCTGCAGACTCTACAGTGAGAGCTGGAGGTTCGTAAGGGACACCACTGACAGGTGTTGAGAATAGTCCCTCAAAGAGAGTCTGGTACTTGTGTTTAGAAGAGTAGTCGAATTGACATCTTTTTATCCTTCATGATTGCATAAGCTTCCATCGACCAACAAGTCCAAAAACTAAGTAGTGGGATATATTTAAAATAATAATCCGTAATTGTATTACTTGGCTCTCCGTGCATTTTCAACTTTCTCGCAACCTACTTTTACCAGTTTGCTTTCGCTACATGTATAGTAGTAGATTCAGGTAGCAAAGTAATCACCAAACTTCTCCCAATAGTCATAGGGCTTACATATCTTCATCTATCTACAGACCAATTCCTATGTTTTCGAACTCTGAAAGACATTCCAGATCAAGCGAGCTAAAACTGATTCATTATGCGGTATAAGACAGGGCCATTAAGTAAGTTTAGGTGATTTCTTTACTTTCCAACTGAGTGTGTGACAAGACAAGGAGATGTGGATCCTTTCTACCAACATCCTAGAAGTGTCTATACCTCCTTCATGGCTTCTTTCATGGAGTGATGCACCCACAGATCTTTGATTACACAATCAGAAGAACCTCTGTCCCGTCACTATCTCCCCTTTTCATCCAACGAAACGATGACGTTTTGCGGGTATGTCGCTAAAGAAAAAACTATCAAAAACTATTGAGCGCAAGGCCTTTCCTTTATCGACATTATGACTGAATCTAATGACATGGCTACCATTTCGGAGCGTCGAAAGAGATCGGCCAACTGGGCGCAGTAGATCTGTCTATACCTAAGAGCGATTCTCAAAACTCTTAGCCATATTCTTTCCCTTCCCCTGATTTCTACTACAAGGCAAACCAAGGGTTATTCAAAAATTTCGGAAAATTCTTGATCGAGAGTAACTGCAATAAAGGAGTCTAGCCTAACATCTAAAAGTCGTCACGGACGTGGAGTTGTTGAGTAACTTATATATTTTGAATATCTTCTTGGGAGGTAAATTCGGATGTCAAGATTGGAAATACAATATTGTCATGCCGGCTAGTGATCAGTATAGATTTTGGTAATACGATAGTTTCTCTGACTACTGTTGTAGCGTTTGATACCGCGATATCTTTTCCCTTTGCCAGCGTCATTCTCGTCGTAGGTATCATCGGGAGCGTATCTTTGGGACAGGGGGAAATAAATCTGCTTAAATTTAATAATATAGGATTCATTATTGGCTCTGCAGAATATACAAAGGGCTGGAGGATAGTAAGGGATACTGCTGGTAGTTGTTGAGTACTGGTCCTTTTCGTCTTGTGATGTTAGAACAGGAAGAACAGCGCCGCTCAAGCAGATTCTTCGGACCTTTTGATCAAAGGTAATCCTATTACCACAAATGTTCACATATCAAGAATGTTGTGCAGGCCTTTTTGTACCTACAGATCATGTCTTGAGAATATGCTAGGCTGGCACAGTATGCCACGACATTTTACCCACACAGACATTGCGCACAGGGTGGACTGGTAAGCCTATGGAGAACTCTTTTCAGCGATGCTTACACCTGTGACCAACTGGCAATTTACTTTTAGCTCTTCCTCCTTTGCACTTTCAATCTGACTTGCTTCCAATCTTCATTTCACAAAGAATCAAGAAAACGGTAAATTGAATCACTGGGGAAGATAGGTTTGTCTTCGTCCTCGTGCCTGCCCTCCATTTGCTGCTGGCGTCCCAGAGATGTATCGCCGAGGATATCATTCATCATTTTCCTCTGAAGCCCATGAAACATATGTTAAAACGCCGACGGTTCGGCAAGACTCATCTACGGGCACTTTTGAGGAGAAAGAGAATGAAACCTGGCACAATAGGACAAGTAGCGCAAGCAAAAGTATTGCGGTCCCAGGAGACGAGCAGGATTCGGCCCTGTTGAGTGAAGAACTAGAAAAGAAATCTATCAATGATGGGGAGGACTCATACCGGGTCAGGTACATTTCAACATCTCGAGTTTGGGCAAAAAGCTAACACGACCTGACAGTAACTTTCACGATGCTGCTGTTAATTTAAGTGTAGCTTCCAACACTATCAGCAATAGACTAGATGACTCATACTACTCCATACTTGATAAGCTTTCTACACTTCAAAGCACTGTAAACAGCTTGAAAAAGCTCGCAATTATGACACGAGAGCTAAACATCGACTTCGTGGCTGAAGGAGAGGATTTAATTCACGCGGCAAATGCACAGCTTGATTCCTTTAATAATTTCGAGGACCAAGCTATACATATCAAGCAACTGAAAGAAAGAGTGGAATCTGGCCGAGAACGAATGGGAATCTTGCGAGAGAGAGTCAAAGAAGTTAAGATGCGTGTTGAGGGCTGGGAAAAACGTGAGCGCGAGCAGCAGGACCAAACAAGGAAAAGACTGAGGATCTTATGGGGCTGTCTCAGTGGAATTTTGGTCCTGGTATTCATGGTACGCATTTTACCATTGTGGATGGCCAACTCCTCTAATCTTGAGCACTCGAAACAAGTGGCAAACATCAATGAAGAACCTGACAGCCAAATTTTCTCAATAACATCAATGGAACACGACAGCAATGAGCCTCCTATAGACAGACTAAATGATGCTAAGTTGACCTATAGTGAATTAGACAATAATGAGAAGCTAACGAATCGTAAAGATTTGTGAGGACGAGATTTAAGTTTTTTCATAGGCTAATCAATAAGATGATGAACATTTTATGTTTGATTTATCAAACATAAAATTTTCTGATATGGATAACAACTGAGCAAAAGTCTGACGTTAGAATATTCTCGAACTTTAAACTTTTTAAACTAAATACTCAAAAAAAAACTTTCATTTCATTATTTCATCATTCCTAAGGACCAAGCCGGCTATATTGATATCAATTTATCTTCATGATATCCATCATATCATCTGGGCTGAGGGTAGGAAAGAAGATGGGAAAAGAGCGAAAAACTCACTTAACATTAATAAAGAAGAGGGGTTTTAAAACAATTCGCAAATTAAAGCTTACATCTAGTACCCCAGATGACTCTCGACTCAGAAAAATACTGGTTAACAAATAAATTTCATTTACATGATGAAAATTTTACCTTATATCCTTCCACAATTCGCCGATCTTTAATTCTAACCTTTGGGCCTTTTTTTTGAACGAGCAATAGAAACATATATTGGAAGAAACAGAGTAGCTCCCGCAACATCAGTTCGTTTTTTGCTTTTCCCCGTTCATGCCAGGGAATGAGATACCAAGCTTTAATGACTAATGTCGGAACAGCGATATAAGTATAAATAGATTGGGCTGTATGGTAACCGATGCCATACGCACTTGCAGGTACACGGAAGTACTATATGAATGGGAACTATGCAACGTGACTTTAGAGAAGGACGAAGGCTGAGCACCTGTCAGTGGTGTCTTTTAAGAACCTCGGGTTAAAAATCTCTCATTCCCAAGATTCAGTTACGAAAAAAAGTGAATTTTAGAGCTTCCATCGAGATAACGGTTTGGAGAAGTGACGTTAGAAATTTTTGGTAGAAATTCCGATCTGCAGAGATTCAACGGCCGCACAACCAAATGAAATCAATCATCTATACCCCATACACGAGCCGCAGACAGGCTCAATCCTGGATGATATTCGCATTAGAACAACTGAAACTCTCCGCCATCCCGAATTTCCCTAGAAGCTCTGTCACGGCTTGAGTGTCGATGCGGGAGCAATCAGATATACTGAGGTAGTTAATTATTTTCTCTGTGCCTATCTATACAAGTCCTACCTCAACTATTTATACACTTGCCATACTATCTGGAATATTCTTCTCGCCTGTAACCAGTTTCTAGTATGTTCCCCTGAGGCTGGTTCGCAGTCCTACTACTCGTTACTAGAAATTTCTAGTGACGTCCCGATTGGTCTATCAAAGAGTATTGGGTTTCGAAGATTTGTATAGCACGTGAGTACTGTCATGCGACACTGAATAATTACCGGCTCACTAGCCATTACAAGCTCTTACCAAATTGTATTCACCTCACTACATACTGAGATGTTCCAAAATCTAGAACTCAAAATCAAAATCTAAGACACAATAGAACATCTACATCTTAGCAACTGCCGTGCTTCATGAAGGTTCAGTCGAAGTTACTGCCTAAAACTTGACTATAACTCGGTCAAGGGCATCAATAATTCAACCCGTGACAAATCACCACCGAAAAAACACACTCGAAATTTCACCGGCATATCAACTACATAATTTGATAGATCAAAGCATGAGTGCCTCGGATTGGAGCTCTTCGACCTAGATTTGGCCTCTTCAATTCGGGATACAGCAGCGGCTGGGCAAGGCAAAGCCAGAGATGTAAATGGTTGCCAAAATTTCTGTGATGAGAAAATCTGCAAAAGAATAAGGGCCACGCTACAATGAATTAAACAAGCTCTAGATGTGACGAGAAGAGAGAGAGCCCATGGGTCAAATGAGTCGACCCGAAAAACCGAAAAAAAACACAAACTTAGCAGCTACTGTTGTGAAAGTTTACAGTGTGTGACAGAGATATGTAGAGAAGATATTATTGTTGATAAATAATGTAGCTCGTATATAATACTGTCTAACTAAAATGTGTCGTGAAAAGTGTTATGTACATGCTTTTGGCAAACAGACCCATTACGCAAACGCCAAGGCTATGAACACGTGATTCAGATTCATAACAGCTACAGTACGAAAGCTGCTCCCAATATCATAGTCTGACAGCTACTCTACGACAGCTGTTAATTTAAATTCCTCGAATCTCTTCCGAAGTTTGTCGAATCCTCAATCTGACAGTTCATATCCGAAAGCTGTCGCAAAATTTTCGCTGCTGATTTCCGATAGCAGTTCGAACCTCAACTCAGTAGCTCCTCTTAGAAAGCTACTATTTATACTCTCAAGACTTCCCTTCTTATAGTCTTCGCATTTATCTAAGCAGAGGGATTTTCGTCAAGTTATTCGACAACAAAAGTCTCTACAATAGCCTAAGACTTAAACATTAACGCCCCCTCAACGGCTATCTTCGTTTAAGTTTATATTGTCGTGGGGGAGATTAACTCAAAAAGAAGAAGAGTAATGGGTGACAAAAATACTGAAGCAAGATAGAAAGAAAACCAAGTGGAGCTTGGTGATGGTACGAGAGAGCTGTCACATGGTACGCTCTTGGATAAAAGTCTTTGGAAGCGATACACTAGTGGGGCATGTTGCTTGTAGAGGGAAACAAGACAATAGAACACTAGTGATTTGGATGGAATAAACACCGGAACAACCGCAGCACGGAAACTGGGGAGTGTATTTGAGAGCTGAGCAAGGCTGACACTAAGATGCCAAATACTGGGGGAGCCTTTGAAGTTAACAACATCAAATTGAAAGGTTACTCTGGGAATGCTTAGGACTCTACGGTGTTCGTGGGGGGAAATGAGAGGAGATAAATCAATTCCAAAGGATACGCTGCTTGGATTGATTCATCGAAAATTGAAAGACCAGTTTGGGAGCAGACAACTAATCATTCAAGCAAACGTCTAATGAAGCAAAGGTACAGGAAGACAAGGAATACGCCCAATTAGTCTATGGAGATGGGAGGGCAAGACTGAACACCTTTACGCGGTGTCCTCTACGAACCTTGGAGTGAAGTATTCTCCCAGAGCCAAGTTCAGTCAAATTTCGCAATATCAAAGAAGTTGGCCCACGAGGCAATGATTCATATTACTCCTCCACGTCGTTTTTTCGCTCCCAACGGGTTTGACCCCTACCTAATTCTCATCAAGTCTACAAGTACGACCTAGTACATCCTTATTCCCATGACCACACCTCTCTTCGACTTTCTCGGGCCTCAGCTCGTCATCAAATACACGCCCACGCTTGTATTTATACCCGCAGGAGGAAGAAAAGCTTGATGCACAAATCTGGGAGACAGTTCTTTGGAATGGACGTGAGAGGTATCAGGACAAGTTTACAAGATGATGCAAAGGAAGGACTTAACATCGACGGGCGTGAAATTCCGAATTTTGGCAAGGAGCTTTACGAATTTAGCTTTGTCACCGCCAAGAATTCGCTTGCGAGAGTGCAGGCGACACTATAAAAAAAAGCAAACGACGGAAGCTGTTGTGGTTGGGGTGTTCTCCGGTATAGTCTGAGTATCCTGGGCACCTACTCAACTAGGGAAGGAGACGCCTCAGATTACATTTCGCGTGGAGAAAAGTTGATGGATGATGGAGGCATGTCTGGATAACTCAGGGTTTTTGAGATGGTCTCCTGGGTGGGTATTCACGGATGAGGGTTTGGGGTGAAGAAAAAGCCGCCATTACTTCGCAGTGGTACCTGCAAATGAAATCCGAGGCATGAGTGCTCTTCCTGCAAATTGAGTCATCTATTATACACTTCTCTGATATTGTATCATGGCTATATATCTGCATACGTAATTAAAATCTGATGCAAAAAAAAAATAGGGTTATGGTTGAATACGTATAAGCTGAGATATTGCAGTGACACATGGAGACAAATCAAGACTCAGACGTGTACAGCTAGAATCCAAAATAATTGGATATAACTGCACGACTATTAATTCATTTCATTGTCCTGTCTGAGTCTATGACTATGTAGGACATGCAGGTCCTCTCTGCCTACAGGCCAAGGACACCTATACCAGTAGTATATCCCTTCCTATGCCTCCCATACAACTTCCCTCAAACAGTACCACCCCTCATAAGTCCTCATTCGATCATACACTAACAGGAGCCCTTTGCCCTTCATTATCTCTCCTCTCTAGCCAACGAAACGATGGACATTTGCGGGTGTATGGCAGCCGGGAAAAATTGCAAAAGACCACTGGGTGCGGAGCCCTCCTAACACCGACATAAAGACTGAATCCGAAGAGATGGTGATCCTTCCGAAGCGTTCAAAGAGGCTGGCCAGCTGGGCGCTGCAGACTTGCGGGCACCTCGGAGAATTCACACTCTGCCTTTCTAGCCTCCTTCCAACTCTTTCCCGAAGGGCGTGTTGAAATGTCAGAAAAGTCTTGACAGAGTGTGATTGCTGTATAGTAGCTTAGCCTAGCTTCTTTTGTGCCGTCTAGGGCGCTGGGGAGTGCCGTTGACTCATCGACAAAAGAAGCCCTCCTGGCTAATTAGCCGAAATCTTAGTCTTGGCGCCCACAAAAAATCCAAAGTTGAAAACCCCTCGAAAATGTCAGTCCCAGCATGGTCTTTTCGAAGACGTGACCCCTCTCCCGTTCCACATCTCAGCCGCCTGTCCTTCCTCAAGATGTACAACCCCATCAAAGCATCAGTCCCCCAGAAGCCAAGACCCCAACTTTGTATATTATGACTTAATTTCCTCCTTGCGGGTATACGTAGCGTCGTAAATTTGTAGTGAGTGATGGCCGGTGATGGATGAAGCAAGCTCCTGTTTGCAATTGGGGTGACGCCTTTGTCGGTCGTCGAGTCGAGATGATGTGTGGTTAGAAAGAGGTTGAGGACTCAGAAGATTATGGCGAGTGCTGCATGATTGAGAAGTCGTCAAATGGAGATATGCATGTGTTTGCTTTCGACTTCGATTCGGTTGCGATTCTTCTTGGCTATCCCAGAAATGCAGAGCGTACTGAGCGATTACACCGGCACCACTGGAAGGTGAAACTGCACGACTAAATAATTCTTTCAGGCTAGGAAGGTTGTTGCGACACCATCAAGTAATTTGATGTAGATGCAATGTATGGACTAATGGTTGAAGCAGCGTATAGTCTGGTGTAATAATATAATGATAAATGCATGGACTATAAGCTATATGTTTGTGAGTTGGACAATGAACTAAATAAGTACACAATCATTCGGCCAGACCATATTAATAGAACACCTTGAATTAGTATTTCTCAGCGCATATACATTACACTGAAGAAAAAACTGACGCTAGATCTCACTCCTAAGTTCTAGAGAACGAAGAAGCATAGAAGTTTACTTGCTTAAATCGTGAACTCTGTAAATCCGATGTTAGGTATAGCTGGAGTTCACCGAGGTATGCTATTTGTGTCACTTATGGTGTTGAAACTAGGGTATCCTGCCAATCTACTTCCTTGAGATTAGAAGACGGTTCAATAGATTACGGTATACATTGCAGTTATCGTGCTACAAAAAGTTGCGGAATGTTAAAATCGCGCGTTAAAATAGTCATCCCAGGGGCGGGAAGAGTTTGTAAAACGCTTGCGACTCGCTGCAAACAAAACTTATTTACAATACTAGTGCATGTTACTCAATATGAAGAGGCTTTCTCGATCCTATAAATCGTTACTGACTTCTGACCGGGCAGTCGGCCTCTCCCTACTTTATGACAAATTGCAGACAAGGGGCAATGAACTTGGAGTATTCTGACACTCATAGATTTCGAGGGGTTTAATAATGCTAACATACAATGTGGGATCACCAGCGTAGCATTTTCCGTGTTCGTAAAGATAGGAAACTTAGGCGAAGAACTTCGAGCTAACTGCGAAAGAGTAGTCAAGAAAATGGCAGGTGTCCTCGTGGTGTCTTTCCTTTTCTGTTCAATGTAATTGCCAAATTTGGACTGAGACCAGTGTCTATAATTGGCAGGGATGCTTTACCATTCGCTAAGGGGACTGAGCTAGCATTTTCGCTCCCACGGTGAGCAGATCGCAACGTTGACGACGCCAGACTATTTCTTCGTCTACAACTGAGAATGCGGCCACGAACCTCTCAGCGCGAGTCGGGTGGGTGACATCCATCTGATGCCACGCGCATCCAATATCTCAGGATCCCTTGCACTTTTCAAAAAAGAAATTACATCCCAACCATAAAAGGGAAACGCAAAGCAAATTGTGAAAAAGATTAATTTTTATATGATAGTCCTCTTCCATAATGTCTTATAACTACGCGCATACCTTACATGTTACGATTGACATCGCAGCTGCGTTTTCAAGAGCAGCAACGCGTGTGTGTTAAGGGGGATTTCTAGCCGGAACTAATGGCAAATGTAGGGATATTCGGGAGAGCACGCATTTCTACCGTAAAAATACACAATGATTCTGTCGCTGTCATACGTGATGATTGTCCACTGCTTCTGCTAATTACAACCCTGGTCTGTGTTGTGCAGCTGATATATGCACGTGGGCGGTAGACGTAAAAAACAGTCAGCCATATCCGGCAACGCCCCGTCAAGTTCAGATCACTTTCCCCTCTTTCGCTTACCCCCGCTACAAGGACACTTGGACCGCCTTCCCAGATAAGGTTGGAGCTTATCATCCCATGCGCCCCGCCTTCTTTCCTCCAGACAAATACTAAACATTGGTCGTCTCGAAGATAGACCGGCACCCATCATTTATCAATAGGAAACAACTAGTTATCTCTTCTCTCGTCTACTTGGACAGAGGCAAGCAAGGTTTTGCGAGTATTTCTTCAACCAAACGATAATAGCGGCTATTAAACCCTTTCGCAGTTCTAGGTTACTACAGTCCGTAGGGTAGCCACGATCGTCAAACGGATAATCTCCCCGCACAGGCCTCGCAACTGGTACCAGCCGGGATTTGATTGACCCGAGGTCGGTTTCATAGAAATAAAGTCGGACAACAGAGTCTCGACCAGAAATCCGTACCGCGTCGGTGGTCCTCGACTTACGACTCGAAGAAACGGGACCCATCAGCATCACATCTCAATGGCAAGGTTATCAAATTTACCCTCACACTTTCAGGGTGATGGTAAAAGTGCCCTTTCCGGTGACGTATTGGGTGACTGATGACTATAGAATCTTGGATTGATATCTCCTCTCAGCCATCCTCTCCTCCTCATTCTCTCGGCAATACAACCACCACAGGCTTTCCTGTTGAAAAGAAGGAACACTCTTGCGAGCGAAAAAGTGCTCTTGGTAATGAAATCCCTATTTTGAGCGATGATGCAGCACATTTCTCCAATATACAGGAGGAGTATGAAGAGAGTGACAGTGACGATGAAGAAATCTTGGATAGCTCAACCGAAAATGTTATTATAGCCAAAAGTCAAGAAACTATGCCTGTTTATGATGCAGAATCAAACTTAGATATGGGTCGGTCTACTAGCGCAAGTCTTTTCTTCACTCCTCAACCCAACGCATTCTCACATCCGCCCTCGAATCAACGACATAGAAGCGTCAGAAATAATTTAACGTCAAATACATTACCTAATGTACATGGCCATCCTGCCCGCTATCAACGCCGTCAAAGTTCATATGGTGAACCTACAGACCATGATGCTGCTTTAAGAGCTTCTCTCACAACATTACTCTCAATTGGCGCCGGCGCTGCAAGAAGTCTCCCTAAGCGTGAAACAGTCACGGCGAGAGGAATACAGAAACATAATGAACCAATTGGCTTACGATTTGTATCAGAAGCTGAGTTAATGGCATTACCTTCTTCGCCAATATCGCATACTTCAACGCCACCATCTTCGAATGTCAAGTCAAATCGTCACAGGAGCCCTGATATTGGTCTTTTAGAAAAGCGTAAACGGAAACTAAAAACAAGTGAGAAGGCTAAGCCTTCAAAATTATTGGCAGGAATACAAGATGACATGTTAAATCCCACTCTATTTACCTGGGCAGTTTCAGCTGGTGTTTTAGTCCTAATCAGTGTTGTCGGATTTGGCGCTGGATATGTTATTGGAAGAGAGGTTGGACGACAAGAGGTCGCAACAGGGTTGAATAGCTCTGCGTTAGCTGATGGTAGTTGTGGGAAGGATTTTTTCAAGCGGAGTTCCAATGGTTTGATGCGCTTTAGATGGAGTATGGGTGGGAATTGTAAAAGTGTTGCTAATTAAGTATGGTAGTCTACCAGAATTGTGGTAAATTCGGCTGATTAAACTAGGAGCATAAGATAATCTCAGGCTTCTCACACGGAATACTGACTTAGCAGCTTCTACTCGAGATATTTCCTGAGGTTGGGATTTTATTTATAGATATCGTATGAGCGACAGAAACATTCAACGACACTCTAATAGGTGCATGGACATAAAGTCATTTTGATCTCTCTGTATATAAAAGCAAGTACAGTCAACGTTGACACAAATTTTATGCTACCGGAGAGGTTTTAATCGTAAGTATATCGATGTGTACTGTAGCCCAATTTTCTAATAGTTACATCTCCAAGACTTACACTGATGGAGCCTAATATTTAAGGCTAACGTTGTGTACTATTGTCACTAACAAAAAAAGAAAAATAGAAGTAATTATATGGAATCTTGTAAAATTGTATCATTATACCTGACGATTAGACTGTAGAAGTAGGATTTTTTGACCATAGATAATACGAATGGGTGATTGGGTCAAGTTAGACCATCATGACGCGAATAACAATAATTGCAAATGCATTTTAGAGCGCTATTTCGCGCAAAATACAGGGTAAGACAAGAGAGACTATTCTCAACACCTGTCAGTGGTGTCCCTTACGAACCTCCAGCTCTCACTGTAGAGTCTGCAGAGCCGAGATTGAGGAATAAAGTTTTCACTTTGACGAGGATTCCCAATCGCTTTCGCGGTCTGTATCGTCTTCATCACTCAACACATTCCCCTATCACCATTATCATGAAGCTAACCACGATTAGATCAGATGGTAGGGTTGGAGCCCTACTCATCACCAACCCTTGATGGAGGAAATTTCGTCCGATGAGTTTCTGGAGCGTACCCAGCACCCGATACGGAGATGGCGGGTTGGATCAAGTCGGCCTCGAATGTTACAAAGAAGGGAGAAATAGATGAATATGCGTACCTCGTGTGGTCCCGATGTCTAGGCTTCGCCTGCCTGGGGCTGCAGGGTTTTTTGAGACTTTTTTCTGCGCACGCAGTTGTTGTAATAAAACAGTTCTGCATCAGTATCGATACAGGATCTCTGTCTATGCACTACTACATGTAACTCTTAATTCACTTGTAACTAGATTCCATGTTTAATGTAGTCACGTCTGTTTCTTGTCTTAGTCGCGGGGGTTCACTAAAACACAAGGCTAAAACATCATTTGGATAACGTTTTCAAGTTGAGACTTTGGCACGTACCTCATCAATCCCCCAACTTTCGTCATACCAAGTTTGATTCCTGTATATAGATGTAGTCTCTCCTACCTCCAGAGATTTTCAGTTCACTGTATTAACTGAACATCTCTGAAGGTAAGTCCTCTTACAGTAATCACTCCAATATCATAGTTCATTTTATTAACTGAATATCTCTGAAGGCTATATTCATCGCTCCTCTCGTCAACTCCACAGCTTTACATCTAAAGCCTCGTTTACCTGCTCCTGTGTTCGAATACCACTCTTCCTTCCTCTCCAACAGACCGAAATCCCCCTCGATCTTTAACCTCATAACAGCAGTTTCCATTGCTACCATTTTTTTGGGTAGAAGGTTCCGTGGAAAAGGTGGCCTAATTCCACGGGTAAACACTGAGCTGAATAGCTATTCATCAAGGGGAAAATATCAATGATCTTTCAAGAAACACGAGAGGCAAGGAGCGCTGTACAAGGTGCGGCCTGGATCAGAGAGGAGCCCAATGTGCTAGATTGTCATAGACTCAAGTAGCACGAAAAACACACACATAGGGTAAGACTGATAAAATTAGGTATCAATTGTGACAACAGAGACGAGGAATTTGCTAAAAGGAATGAGCACTGGTATAGGAGGGGTGTTTAAATCTAATCACATGGTAAGTAATATTAAGGTGACTCGATTATTCATCGTTTTTTTCATCCGACCCATCCCACATCCCACATCGCATCACTCATAATCCTGTATACAAGAGCCACTAATCGGAGAAATGGCCCCAGCTGTTGCATCGTTATCGTCACCGCCCTTCAATCCAGGAGGGAAATTTCACCAAGGCCTGCTTGGCATCGTAAATGAAATGCAAAAAGTAGAACAAGAAAGAAAGGAAAGATTGGACGTAGTCCCGTAATTTCTTGAATTAGCTGACTACTGGGCAAAGAGCAAAGGAGAGAAGCGAGCAGCAGCAGTCGTTTCGACGCTAATGGAAAAGATCACGCCTGTCATAACTGCGTTTGCAGTAGATCAGGCAGAAACAAAACCCCTCCATAGTAAGAAACACCCCACTATGGCAAGCACTCCCAAACCAGTCGTGCCTAGGAACAATATAGCTGTTGGGGATCACAGCAACGCCCTACCCTCAAAGCCTCTAGACATCAGCTCGCCCTGGATGAAAGTAGCCCGCAAAGCTGCCGAGCTACCGACGCCGCGAAACGTGCAAGTTCCGCTAAGGTCTACTCCAGGAGGCAACCCGAAACCCCAGACAGCCCTAAATGAGGACAAGCGCCTATTCCCACGACTGAGGAAAGATCACCACTGGTACAACTTATCACTAGTCACGATCAAGAAAATGATTACCGACAAGGCTGGGATAGCGACTTCCACTATCGCATCCATGTACGCAGTCAGGTCGGGGATCGCTCTCGAATGCGCATCAGACGCATTGAGAGATAAAATCATGAGGATTGCACCTTTCCTACAGGAAGACAGCACTGTGATTGAGGAAGCGTCAAAATGGACATCATTGATTATACCTCATGTGCCATTGTACATCAGGATGCTCGAAGGTAGCATCCCAGTCACCAACGAAATGGTGAAGAACAAGTGTCAGGCTAGATGTGGCGCCACACCAATGCAGATATGGCCCACAGAAACAAAACTTGGCCAACACTCAACGAGCTGGATTGTTCATTTCTAAAAAAAAACAGCAAACACAAAGTTTCGTCTCCTTGACGAGAGCGGACCAGCAATTCCCTTCTCGCGCCGAAGACCAATCGAGCAATTCCAACGTTGCTGGGGATTCCACACAACGCGTTCCTGCACTCAGAGCCAAAGATGTGGGGGACGTGGGAGAACCCATGAGACATCAGAGTGCCAGGCCAAGATGTCAAAATACTCGAATTGCGCGGGATCCCACCACTCAAATGATGGTAGCTGTATGGCCCGACCAAGACGACAGAGCGGGATAATTCTGCCTCGCACCCCTGCAGATTTACATATCATCAGAGAAAGCGGGCATCGTGATTATCACCTTGCTCAAGCGTACTCAGAAAGGAAGGCCAAGGAAGTGAAAACTGTCACTAACCAGGACTCAATAATGTCGTGTTAATGTTAAGAAACCTCTCAACAAAAACACTAAAAGACAAACACAATACCGTCCACTTTCACCAAGTGAATGTCGGAAAGAGTGAAGATAATTTGGATAAAGCATTGCAGCAGGCATGGGAGGCCGGCGCACATGAAGTCATGGGACAGGAACCATAGACAAGGAAGAAACAGGGGGGTCTTATAATAAAAAGTCACCCTGGCTACAACGGTCATATACCATTTGGAGGAACAGACATCAGGCCCCGCGCGATCACTTTCACGCGGAAAGGCATTCAAGCGACTCAATTCTTTCCATCGTCATCAGGCCCGACATCAGACTGCTGTTTTATAAAGATGGGCAGCCTGACCTGTGTCAACGTATATCGTGTCCCGGGCACTAGTGGAACCTTGGAGCTCCTATTTTGGTGGGAAGTTAGAGGATTAGTGGTTGTTGGAGGCAATTTCAATTCTGTGTCACAGTTTTGGTAACCGCGAACAACAAATCAGTACGGCAATGGTAACCAAATCGTGGAATGGGCATCAGATCATGACATGGATCTAGTCAGCATTGTCAGAGAGCCGACGCACAGGGACGGAAACGTGCTGGAATTAACTTGGAGCAACACAGCCGTGATAGCATCAGTCTCCACACGTTACCACAGTACCTTTGATCACTCGACCATCAAGGGTACTGTGGTGAATCCTACAGTGTTAGATCTCTCTGGAATTGCAAGGAACATTCGTGTCAGCGACACCAACTTGGAGGAATTTAGCCGATGCGTTAGCCAATGGACCAAACCTGGCCCTCTATACAGTATCACGAACATCGAAAATTTCACCAATGACCTCCTCCAAGCACTTGGAAATCCGCTGAGGACCGTGGGCAATGTCCCAGCCATCGAAAGCGAGAAAATCAGTCCTTGGTGGGGCGATAAATGTCGCACTTAATGGCTGGATTACAAAGCAGTAAGAGACAACCCCGAAATTTCGCCCCAGCCACTGAACAGCTTTGGAGCCGTGGTACGAAAAGCCAAGCGAGAATACTGGATGAGGCAAGTGGAAGCAGTTACAACTGACGCCCAGGTTTTCAAGCTCATGTGATGGGCTAAGCCTCGATCAGCAGCTGAGTCCCCTTCCTTACAGATTGACAAAAACCGGTGGCTATCTCATCCGCGAGAGCGAGCTAGTGCGCTACGAGACATTCTTCTGGCAAGATTTAGCGGTGAGAATGATATGTCAACCTGGGATAATGGACAGGAGGAGCGCATTCCATAGGATACGGAAATATCACTTGATGATGATGAGACTAGCACTACCGTCTCTATCAACGATACGGCACCAGTCGCTGACAAGATAACGGTCCGTCTACATAAAGCCTGTTGGTCCCATCTAGGACTTCTGGTTAAGGATCTCTACCAGGCCTGTCTGAATATCGGCCACTTTCCCACGGCTTTCAGGGTAGCAAAGGTTGCGCTTCTTCTCGAACCGGGACGAAATCTGTCAATCGCCAAGAGCTGGCGACCGATTTCGCTGCTTTCGAGTTTAGGCAAACGACTCGAACGTTAAGTCGGCAAGAGAATGGCGTGGCTGATGATAAGTCACCAAGTGGCTCACCCTCAATTATTCGGCTCTGTACCGTTGAAATTAGAGGGTTCAAGACTGCACCTGTTGTTGTCTATCGGTAACAGTGACTAAGCCTTATGT